ATAGCCTTAAAAAGATATATAGAGATATATATAGATATAGCCTTAAAAAGGTCAACTTTTTTATCGGGCATCACAGGCACTTGCTTAGAAATAAATCTTCATAAGAAGAATAATTAAAATGAAAAATTCGTGCGTTTTCAAAGCGACTGAACAAACAATTGTTTTCTTCTCCATTGCCTTCTCTTGATGCGATAACGAAATAAACATCCTTCTCAGGGCCGCACGTCGATGTTTTTTCTGGCGCTTATATACTTACTTATTATTGTGCTTTATGCCTGCAAAAATCGACTGATTTTGAAACGAGTTGCGATTTTCCACGTCAAAGCCAATGAAAACCCGCAAATATAACTGTGCAAGCATCAAAGCGGATTATTCTAATTTTAAACGCAACAGACGTAAAAATGTCCCCATTATAGGTTATCTAACATGCAACAGGCGCCGAAGACTTATTATTAATTTCCTCGTAATTGTCGGATAAAATAATGAAAGAAATCGTTGGCAATTTGTAATAATATCGAATCCAGTTCTCGGTTGCGGCGCCTTTTAAATAACACATTAAATGGCCGTTCCCTTTGATTTATACAAATTGTTTCACAGAAAGTTATCGTGTCGCTGCCCGATCTGAGATCTATCGTAACGGCAGCTACGATCAAAGAAAGTGCTGTTTGTTGTTGGGCAAACCGCAATAATTGATATGTTTTCCAATTATTTTCATCAAATTCGATGTCGATTGCTGCCAGTGTCCGTTAGGCATTTGTCCGCAGGAAAAACTGTGCAATGGCTAAAAACTCCTCAACTCGTTTAAGGCAATAAAATGCATATCTCAAATATTAACCATTTAGAGTGGAATGTAAAATACTAGGAAGCTGTTTCGCGTCCAGCCACAAGAGAAATGTGGTAACTGTACATCTTAACGGTGACAGACTTGATTAACCGTCGATATCAGGCAACTCATAGCAGAAAAATTCACGAAACCTAAGCACAGGCAACAAGTGAATAACAGAATGACCATCGGAAAATTGCCGATGGTGCAGCCCAATTTACCCCAAGCTCACATCA